AAAAAAAAAAAAAAAAAAAAAAAAAGGGTAGGTAACTATAGATTCAATCTGCAGATATGGCTAAGGGGCTCATTTTGTATGCCTTTTGAAAATATGTTTGTTCAACTGCTATGACAGATTAAGTATTTTGTAAAGGAACTGTTCTACTTCTGTAAACAGGACTGCAATTTAGTGAACTATAAGCATGGTTTCCTATAAACTATGACATTCACACTTCTCATGTTCTATACATGGCTATAACCTACTCTTTGGTTTAAATGTTAGCTTCCTGCACATCATAGTAAGCTTTAAAGCTTAGGGACAGATGGGGATCTCCATAATACTATATGACTTAAAATTAAAGCATGCAATGTTTTCAACACTAGTTATTCCTACTCCTCTTTGCAGTCAGTCTGAAAAATGGTTTTTACATTTAAGCTATTTATTTTCTTAATTCATCTCTTCCTCACATGGATGCATGCACAATATAAATTGATATTTTGGGATAGAGCTGGATATTGTTGGGGATATCTAAGGTGAGGATGTGACAGAATTCCACATCTAAAGCACCAAAGACAATTGTGAAGTGCCAAAGGAATTTAGAAAAAAACCATCACTGCTTTTTGTTTTATAAGAAAACAACTCAAACATAAAGATTTCAGAATGTAGGATACATTCAATGCTCTGTTGTGAGTTGTTGAGTTTTGACAACTTCTCAGATAGTATCTGTCCGTCAAATGCTTCGTTGCTCATCCTGCTGTTTAACAAGCTTTCACATAGCCTGCAGCAATTGTTATAAGTTAGGTTATATATATATATTTTTTAAATTTACTCTTAAAAAAAAAAATCCTTATTTTCAACTCAAGAATGAGAGAAGACAGAAACAGAAACAAAAACAAACAAAATCATCATCAATAATCACCTTGGAAAATTTTTCCATGGTAGCTTAGATGTGGGAGTACACTACTTAAATGAGCCCTGAACCAAACTAGACACATTAGCTACACAAACCCTTTATTCCAATTTAGACTATTCAAGATCATACACTCTTGAAGATCCTAAGAAGATTGCCTCTACACCACATCAACCAAATGGCTTTAAACCTACACACCTTCTACCTTAAACACATTACTATGACGCATAAGACTAGTCCTGGACCTATGTTGGAGAGAAAACATAAATTCTTAGAATCATAAAATTGCATAAAATTATGGGGAAGTGCCTAAATATTGTTCCAAATCAAGATCAAGTTAGATTACTCACCAGCATTTAAGAGAAAAGAGAAAATACAGCAGGGAACCTTCGGGTCTGGTTAGGTCCAAAAGCATTGTACTTGGTTTTGGGTAATGGAAAGAGTGCAAAAACGGTAGATAGATCTTGGAAAATGAAGCAAAGAAAGTGAATTCTAGGCCAATTTCTGCAATCAAGCTGGCAAAGAGAGAGAAAATCTAAGCTCTAATCCTATTTTGATCTGAATAGTTTTGTATCTACCTCATATATAACTCAATTTCTAATGCCATCTTTTCTCCATGGACTCACATCAATATTAACATCCTCAATTTTTAGCCATATTGATCCTACAAAAATGCTGTCTTCAAGATTAAGTTGAAATGTTTCCCAGCTCTCAATTGGTAGTTTCCAACTCATTCCCCTGATGATCATAACTATTTCAAAGAAACAAACAAAAGCATGCAAGAACTTAATAAGTCAAAGAAAAGTCAATGAAGATCTAAAGTCTTGAATCCAAAATAGAAGACTTTGCTAAAAAGTGCACTTCCACCACTTAACTCTACCCAACGCCATTGCTGATCACTCAATCTCATGAGCATAATGCCATAATTTTTGAGCAACCTCAGAATGCATAGAACAGAAGGCCAGACTTTCTTTCCTAACCTTCATCAAAGCATTTGATTAATTTAATTTATAATCTTTTATTTTACTATTTCCTGCCTCCTGACTTGGCTATCACCCACATGGACATTCTCATTTCATATTAACTAATTCTTTTAACTCGCATTTCTTAACTTCTGAATGTAATGGGAATAGAATTTGACTTTCATAATCAGACAATGCAAAAATCTGTTTTTCTTTATCCTTTACCCTGCAATGTAGCAAAATGCTAACCTCTTCAATGTCCATCATTCTGAAAGATACTTCCATGGGAATCAAAGAGAAGAACAAAAAATGTTAGGCTTATGCATCTGAAACAATTGGTTTCAATTTAATTGAAACAACAATTCAAAATAACTTAATATAGTTCCCATGTGATATTAACTCAACATGGTTCCCAGGCCCATTGTAAATATAAAACCTTCTCTTCTCCACTATAAAGTTACTCTTTAACTGTTACATTCTTCTTTGGAATACTTATGAAACTAAAGAAAAGACTAAATAAATGAAAAGTTTTTCTCAAACTTACCCACGATTAATCATCTCTCATATCCCACATAGACACTACTATCAGTCAAACCAAGTAGTTACTCACAAAGTCAGGTGATCAAGTGAGCAACAAAAAAGATTTCAAAGCAATTTTAAAGCTTTCATCTTCTTTATAATATAAAACTACATGCTAAAGTCCCATGATCACGAGTCAAGGTCCGCACATGCCAATAACATCCCTCAAGCATTTCTTATTACATTCAAAACAGTTCCCAAAAATTTCCTCAGAAGAAAAAATTAAGACTACACTATAATTACCTTTTAAGTCTAAAACCCTCTAAATCTATGCGCTATAATCTTTTCACTCCCAAAACAACAAAAACAATTTAACACCCATAAAGTACAACTATGAATTAACCCAATATTTAAAAAATCAAAACAGAATTTAATTACAAACCCATCTCATCAATTGAACTAAAATGGAATAAATTACATTTGATCATGCATTTTGGAGTACTTAAGAATTAATAAATTCAGAAACA